ATCTTCCCAAATTCGTGTTGAGGAAGGTGTTCTTGGAGTCTAGGCAACGGCTGTAGTCGCCAGTGTTCCATTTTGCCAAATCTGCATCTTGTTTGTCGACGCCACGCAGCAGCTTATAGGGCAGGATCCAAAGGAATGATTCGAAATCATGGCGGTACAGGCGCACGATCTCTCCGCGGAAATACTCATCTGAGAGGAGATCCATTGGCATGAAGGGGATGGTGCCAGTCCGTTCTTGCCCTGTCGCCTGGTTCCTATCGTCCAGGCGGATCCTAGCCAAATCGAAATCGTTCAGAACACCCTTTTCAGTGGTGGGATCATAGAGCAGGTTGTCAAGACTGATATCTGTGTGTTCAATGCCCTTCATCCAGAGCGCGAAATGGCCTGTTCAAAACCTAGTCAGACAATAAATCATTGAAGTAGCACGACACCCACATCGATAACATTCTATCCAACGTTCGATGAACGTTTTAGCAGGCAATTCGCCGATGGGCAACAATTTGGGCATCAGCAGTATGCGCATACAACGTGGGCCACCGATAGCACTCCCAACAAGCTGTCCTTCTTTCTGGATGTCCTCCCGAATTGTTCCGGTCGAGTAGTCCAGGTCATATGAGGCAAGCACCGTGGGCAGATGCCCCTCTATGAGCGGGTCTCCCCGACCCAGTTCCACCGCCTTGTCAATAATGACGGCCTCGCTCGTACGAGCGACCTCCGGCCAGTATATCTTCACCACTGCATCTGTTTGGGTCGGCTTCTTCTGCGTGGCCCCAAAGACCCTTGTTCCCCGACCGAGGAGGGAATATCGCAATTGAATGGGTTCGCCAAGATGTACAGTAGCCTCTGCTTTAACATTCATCTGATCTTCGCGATCTCTGAATGCGAAGTCGAAGTCTGTTTTGTCGCGAGCAGGACAGAATTCGTCAGTTTTTGCGTCGGTCTTGTCACCTGGCACATCCGGACCCTTCAGATAGTGCTGATATTCATCCTTTATCAGCGTGGCTTCAATACCCCACTCGCGCAGAGTATAATGACGGAATGCGGCAATCAGGACAAGGAAATAGGGGAGGTCCTTGATGAAATCGACACCGCTCGACTGGATTGCGCCTTGTCGATCATACCACCATACCCATGCTATTTCGTCTGAAGCGTCGGAGTAAGTCATAGCTCATGCAACGATATAGATCGAGTACTTGCCAACGATGACGACATTAATTGCATGCATCGCATAGCGCCGCGATAGCATTTCCGCTGCATACATGCCGGATTGTACAACGACAGGAGGATCTTTCTTAGGTTCCTCAGGTTTCGCCTTCTTGGACCGTTGACTGTCGGGCTGACTATCGGACTTTCTCTTTGCAGATGGCTGCTCTGTCACCACTGGCGTACTCCCTCGGAGTCTAGCTGATCTCCGCACTATGGGAGACAATGAGAACCGACATTCACAACTATGATGTCATACTCACAAGTGGGTGCGGGATTCGATGCGTCTCCTGTTGACAGATGAGCCGAAGTAGTCGGAAACAGACTTAGGAACTTACCTGAGCCTCCTGTTCGTTCGACCTTGCGTTGAGACGTCGTCTGCACCGGAGCGGCGACAACGGGAGCGGCGACGGGAGCGGCGACAGCAACAGCGGCGTCCTCTCCAAAAGGCCACTCTTTGTCCACTGCCAAAGGAGGGATTTTGGCTGAAAGGGTACCCTTGTATTCATAGCGGTCAGGTGGGGGATTCAAACGCTTTGTGGTACTGCGGCGTTTGAACTCGAAACATGAGAGAACGTCCGCCCAGGAGAAAGCCTGTTCTATAGCAGGGCGATCGGGTGCACACTTCATGGCAATTTCGTCCCATGTATAGTGAAGGGACACATCTCCGGCTGCGCGAATAGCAGAGCCACGGGCGACTAACACAACGTCAGGCTTTCGGGCCGACGAAAGTTCACCGTGGCTACCGGTAAGCAGATTGGGATCATTTCTGTAGAACATGGTCTCCAAATCCTCGCCAGCCTTAGGGGCTTTCAAAGGAAGGTTCTTGAGCTCCTTGATCAGGTGTAGAGCTCGATTGAAGGTCAGGGTGAAGGGAGCATAGCAATGGCTCTCGTGAGTATAAGCTTGAGTACTATGTGACGTTAGTAAACAGGGATGCCCAACAATAACCTACAATGACTACGTACTAGCTTTTGAGATTGGCTTGCAAGTCTGGGTCATTGCAGAGAGGTAAGACTTCTCGGACGCATTCTTTCAAAAGGTCCTCGTTGGTCTTATGAGCGTCTTCGTCCTTCGCAACTCTACGCAGTAAGACTTTGAGCAAATCGCGAAAATCGCATTGGAAATGCTTTTCCAGGTCGTTCCTAATGTAGGCTTCCACTTCCGCCTTCCTATAATGTGGCGTTCATTTGGGCACGATGAGCGAATCGTTCATTTGAGTCTGGACGATCGCTTACTTGAGTGATTTGTAGGCATCGCTAACACCGGCTGCGGCGCTACTATCTGGCCGCCCAGGGGTGCTCTTCACGACATCAGGAGCGTTGGGAGGGCCAGCATTGGGAGGCGTGGTAGGTGCAGGAGCGTTGGGAGGGCCAGCATTGGGAGGCGTGGTAACTGCAGGAGGATTGCTGGTCATGGTTGAACGCGATGTGAAGTGATACTGGGGAACGACCCGACCCTAATAGCTGACCTTTATAGTCGGATAAGACGCTGGCCGCATGCTGCGCTTAACGATGGCTGTGGCTTCTGTTGATTGCTTTCTGTTGATCGCTTTCCGGAACAAACCACGATGTTAGTCACGTGCAGTGCATCAGGCTTGTTCCTTTTGTTCCTGCGCGTTTTACGGCTGGCACAACTTTCGCGCTCGATCACGTTCTGTTGTTCTTCGTTGTGAAACAATTATCACCTTGGGCACATCGTGTCGGAGAGACTTATATGTTTCAGATGTAATGATGGCAGAGTTCCATCACCATCATATGCCCAATGATTCACCCAAAAAAGAAGCCTAGTATTATCGATGATCTACTAGTAGGATCGAGCCTCATATGGGGGATCCTATCGATACAAGCGGGGGTCAATATTGCGCTGTGTACCTCCTGTGGATATCCTCTGAAGACAGCTCCGTGGTTTGAAACAATGGGCCACATGAGCTTGTTTTATGCTCGAGACCAGAAACAACAAGTCAAATGCATGACTCCGAAAGCAGGCAACTTCACAACAGGGTTGTTTCGCTCAATAACAAATTTCTCGCTTGCTCATGTTCCAGATATGGTGGCATGCAGGAATCTTGAAACATTGGATCTCAGCCTAGGATGCTTAATTGTTCATCCGGAGTGGGTGGGTACGCCGCATTATTCTTCGGCACATATCGCTTCATCAATCGGCCTAGGATGCTTCACCGGGGCACAAGGTTATGATTCCGCTGGAATCAGTTTGAACACATTGTGATCTACTCTCGTGAGGGGAGGTCAATTGTCATGAAGGGGATGGCGCCAGTCTGTTCCTGCCCCATTACCTGGCTCTTATTGTCCAGACAGATCCTAGCCAAATCGAAATCATTCATTCGGAACACCATTTGAAGTGCTAGGATCATGAAGTGAATTGTCGACGCTGATACTCGTGTGTTCAGTGCTCTTCATCCAGAGCGCGAAATGGCCTGTTCGAGAGCCAATTAGACGACAAATTACCGAAGTACTATGATGCTCACATCGATAGCATTCCACTCGTAGGAACTCCTCAGCGGGCAGTTCGTCGATGGGCAACAATTTTCGCATCAACGGTAGGTGCATGCAACGTGAGTCACCGATAGCATTCCCCAATATCCGCCCTTCTTTCAGGGTGTCCCCCAGAATTTTTCTGGTCGAATAGTCCAGGTCGTAGGAGGCAAGCACCTTGTCCCTCTTTGAGCGAGTCCCCCCGACCCAGTTCCACTGCCCCCCCAAAAACGATGGCCTCGCTCGTACAACAGACCTCCGGCCAGTGTATCTTCATCACTGCATGGCTCCAAAGACACTTGTTTCCCGACCGAAGAGGGAATATCGCCATTTAACGATTTTGTCAGGATGTATAATAGCTGCTGCTTTCTCGTTCGTTTGATGTTCGCGATCTCTGAATATGACGTCGAAGCCGTGGTGATTGCGACGAGGATGGATGTCGTGAACTGCTCACGGTCGTTCCTCGGATGCTGCATCCTTCAGATAATGAATGATATTCATCCCTTATGAGTGTGGCGTCAATCCGCACTCACCCAGAGTCAAATAACGGAATGTGGCAATCAGAACAAGGAAATAGGGAGGTCCTTGATGAAATCGACACCGCTCGACTGGATAGCACCCTGTCGATCATACCACCACACCATGCTAAATTGTCTGTGGCGTCGGCGTCGGTCATAGCTCATGCAACGATGGAGAACAGGGACTTGCCAACGATGACGACGTTAGTTGCGTGCATGGCATAGCGCCACGATCAATAGCATGTCCGCTGCATTCATACCGGATTGTACAACAATGGGCAGGAGGATCTTTCTTCTCAGATTGCTCAGGCCTCATCATGCATCGTGCATCATGTCGGAGAGGCTTATGTTTCAGATGTAATGATGGCAGAGTTCTAGCAACACATTAGTACGCCCAACGGCTGGCCGGAAAGAAGCTTATCGTTGATGATCTACGATCAAGCCGCATGACATGATCCTATCGATTTGACCGTGACGTCTTCTGATGCCACAGGTGCCCACGAGGCATGCACAATGACTCGTCCAATTTTCCCTGACTGACTGTCTCCATGTCACGTCCTCATCCACGCGCAGCCAAGATTGTAAGAGGTCAAGGGAGGCTGGTCCTCAACACCATTTAATAACATGATCGTTCGAGTTCCGCATGATGAGACAACCCTGCATACGACGACGCCCAGTGGCGAACGCGTACCGTATCGGCTGGATGGTATCTGTGCTAAATTATTGAGTTCACGTACGAGCAGAACATCCTTACGAATCTTCGACCCGGTGTGTCTCGTACCCGAGCTTTGTGGCGTAATGACATGTTACAATTGTCAGGCTGGTCCTCGTTACTTTTCATCAGATAACGATACCGCAAGCTAAACAATTGTGACCAAGAGCCTACATGGGATGATGTATATTCTCGTCGCAGACATTCATGCATTTCCGAGTCCTGAATGGCTACTCAGACTACCCGTGGCTGGCGTCTGAACAATGAATACGATTCAGCCTGATTCAGCAAATAAGCATTCTGAAGGTCGGTCCCGAAGTGTCCGAAATTCCATTCACATTGTCGGCACACTCAACGTAGGCGCGATCATATCGATCACGTTCAAGTTTTTCACATCACGGTGGTGAGTCGTCGGATGGTAAATGGAAGCGCTGCCTCCTCGACCCGCTAATCGCGATACCGAACGACGAATACCATATGTAGAAACCCAGGACAAGAAGAAGCATGCCGATTTTAATGGCTCTACCTAGCTGAGATTCTCCTTTCCCAGTGTTGCGTGATAGGCGTTCTTTTTCCGGCGCTGTCTCGTCTCAGCACCGGCAGATGTGGCCGACCACTCTCAGGATGAAGCCGCCCAATGTGCGCTTGGACGAGGACGCCCGACAGATGGCGACCGTGAGACTATCTACGGTGTGGATCTAGTCTGTCCACAGATAGCGCTGTCACACGACTCACGAACACATTCTGCATCGCGAATCCTTGCTCGCAGTGTAATGCAGTCCACCGGAGAGTTGACCAGTGATTCACTCGTCTCACCCAATGCACCACAATGACACCGAATATAAAGGCGTATCGTAGCTATTCTTGGCTTGAGGTTGGCACCTCCGAAACGGGTGATGCCATCATAAACTGTACGAAAAACATGGTTGCTAATTTACATGCACACCTGGGAGATAACAAATGGACATCACGCGGTGGTCGTCCGCTACCCACTATCGGTTCGTAAGCTCGGGTGATTAAGGCGACGATGTGTATGCCCGCTCGACATGAACGTTACAACGGGCGAAGCGTGGTGCATCTCAGCATGCAGCATCTCTGGCCTGCCATCTGAGAGTGTTTATCATCTGTCAATGTCCTTCTTTCCACGCAAAGTTTCGCACAGCTCACTTAATATCATCCGTGTCTGTGGGGAACACAGCGAGCGTTTTCCACGCATTTTCTTCGTCCGTTGGGCAGACTACGGATGAATTGCGAGTTGATGGAGAAGGGAGATACCGTTGGAGCTCTTCGTCAGAGAGCGGTTGGAACTTGAAGGGAATGGAGGAACCCGCCTTAGCCAAGCGCGTCGCAATGACACCCTCAGCGTCTTTGAGAACCTGTGTGGACGACTGGTTGGACGGATCGTCCCATCGATTTATCTCTTCGAGGCCACTCCATGACAGCTCTTCTGGTTCCTGATTCTTCAAATCACGCAAGCGCCGCATAGTGTAAAGTTTTTCATCCAACCATCTAAACAACCAAAATCCAACGCCTTTCCAAACCAGTGCATTCTCGTCCGTAGCTTCCCATGTTCCCATATACCTGGCGAGGAAAGCGCTCTTGGACTCAAAGCAATCTTTGTAATTCCCCGTGTTCCATTTTCCCAAGTCTTTATTCTGCTCCGTGGTGAATCCACGCAGCAGCCTATAAAGCAGGATCCAAAGGAATGATTCGAAATCGTGGCGGTACAAGCGCGCAATCTCTCCGCGGAAATACTCTCTTGAGAGAAGATCCATTGCCATGAAGGGGACGGTGCCAGTCCGTTCCTGCCCTATCGCCTGGCTCCTATCATCCAGGTAGACCAAATTGCAGACGTTCAGAACACCTTTTTGAGTGACGGGATCATAGAGCATGTTGTCAAGACTGATATCCGTGTGTTTCAAGCCCTTCATCCAGAGCGCGAAATGGCCTGCTCGAGAGCGATTTACACGACAAATCACTGGAGTAGCATGATACTCACATCGATAACATTCCACCCATACACGCAAAAACTCCTCCGCAGGCAATCCGTCGATGGGCAACAGTTTCCGCATCAGCAGTAGGCGCATGCAATGTGAGTCACCGATAGCATTCCCCACAGTTCGTCCTTCTTTCTGGATATCCTCGCGAATTGTTCCAGTCGAGTAGTTCAGGTCGTACGAGGCAAGTACCGTGGGCAGATGTCCCTCTATGAGCGGATCTCCCCGACCCATTTCTACCGCCCGCTCCAAAGCGACGGCCTCGCTCGTGAGAGTGACTTCCGGCCAGTATCTCTTCATGACTGTATCCGCTTGGGTCGCCTTCTTCTGCGTGGCCTCGAAGTCCCTTGCTTCCCGACCGAAAAGGGAATATCGCGATCTAACGATCTTGTCAGAACGTGCAATGGTGGCTGCTTTGACATTCGTCTGATCTTTGCGATCTCCGAATGTGACGTCGAAGCCGTGGGTGCGACGGGGATGGATCTCGTGAACTGTTCTGTCGTTCCTCGGATACTCTCTCGTAGCCCTCTTCAAATAGTGCTGATGTCCATCTCTTCTCAGTGTGGCGTCAATGCCGCATTCACGCAGACCCAAATGACGGAATGTGGCAATCAGAACAAGGAAATAGGGAAGGTCCTTGATGAAATCGACACCGCTTGACTGGATTGCACCTTGTTGATCATACCACCATACCCATGCTAAATTGTCTGAAGTGTCGCAGTCAGTCATAGCTCATGTAACAATGGAGAACAAGTGCTTGCCAACGATGTCGACGTTAATTGCATGCAACGCATAACGCCGCGTTAGCATTTCCGCTGCATACATGCCAGATCTTGCAACAGCAGGACGACCTTCCTTCTCAGGTTTCTCAGGTATCATGTCGAGAGAACGATGGCAGAGTTCCAACGATATCATTACGCTCGATGGTTCACCAAAAAGAAGTTTGTCGTCGATAATGAGGAATCAGGCCGCACATGACGCTATCGATGCAAGCGGAGAGGAAAAAAATAATGCGCTGTGTATCTCCTTCAGACGCCTTCTGATGCCACAGGGCCCACGAGGCCATTGATGATCAGGCAACTGAATGATGCATCCAATTTTCCCCTGACTTATCTGTCCACGTCCTCATCCATGCGCAGCCGAGATTGTAAGAGGTCAAGGGGTATTTTTGCCAACGACTTGCACGTAACCAAAAAAGTTGAACTCACGACTTCGATACTAACAGATTGTAACAATCCACCAGGGTCCTCACCACCATTTGACAAAATGATTGTCGAGTTTTGCATGATGGGACAATGCTGGTGCCTACATACGACGACGCCGAGCGGTGAACGCATACCGCGTCGGCTGGACGGTATCTGTGCTAGTTCATGTACAAGCAGAACGTCCTTCCGAAGACTCGACCCGGTGTGTTCCGTACCCGAGCTTTGTGGCGCAAGCGCATGACATATGACATGTTACTATTGTTTTCCTCATAGCATTTCAGAGCCCTGAATGGTCACTACTACCTGAAGCGGGCATTTGAACAATGACATACGATTCAGCAAACAAGCATTTTGAAGGTCGGTCGCACAGTATTCGGTACTGTACTCACATTATCGGCATACTACTCACCGCAGACGCGATCATCATATCGATCACGTTGGAATTTTCCCCATCACGGTGGTGAGTCGTCAGATGGTAGATGGAAGCGCTGCCTGCTCAACCCGCTCGCTAATCGCGATACCGAACGGCAAATATCATATGTACAAACTCAGGACTAGAAGAAGCCTGTCGATTTAGATGGCTCTGCCTCGCTGTAATTCTCCGTTGCGTGATGATAAGCGTTCTTCTGCCGGCGCCGTCTCGTCTCAGCACCGGCAGATATGGCCGACCACTCTCAGGACGAAGCCGCCCAATGTGCGCTTGGACGAGAACGCCCGACGAGTGGCGACCGTGAGACAACCCACAGTGTAAATGTTGTCTGTCCACGGATAGCGCTGGCACGCGACTCGCAAACACGTTCTACTCTTTCTTAATGGCGAATCCTTGCTAGCAGCGTAATGCACTCCACCGGAGACTTGATCATTCATCTATTTGGCTTTCCCCACGCCACACAATGATATTGGATACACATCACAGCCGCTCTCAGCTCGAGGTTGGCACCTCCGACACGGGTGATGCCGCCATGAGTCATATAAAAACAGGTTTCTTCATTCACATGCAAGCCAGGAGGTAACAAATGAACATCGCGCAGTGGCCACCTGTGGGTGCATTGTCTGTCAGTGTTGTCTTTCTTTCCAAGCAAAGTCTCGCACGGCTCACCTAGTATTGTCCGAGTCGGCGGGAAACACGGCGAGCGTTTCCCGCATTTTCTTCGTCCATTGGGCAGACTAAGGATGAATCGGCAGTTGATGGAGAAGAGAGATACCAAGTTGAAGTTATTCATCATAGAGTGGGTGAAAGGTAATGGAGGAATCCGCTAAGTGCTTCATCATGACACTCTCAGCTTCTTTGAGAAGCTGTACGGCCGAGTGATTGGACTGATCATCCCATCGATTTACCTCTTCGAGGTCACTCTCTGACAGCTCGTCTGGTGCCCACTTTCTAAGATCACGCAAGTCGTCCATCCGGTACAGTTTAACCCTCAACCATCTCAATAACCGAAACCCAGCATCTTTCCAAACCAGTGCATTCTCACCCCGGGCTCGCCATCTTACCAACGTTCCGAGGAAGTTGTTCTTGAAGGCGCGACAACGATCGTGATTCCCAGTGTTCCATTTTTTGAATTCTTCATCTTGTTCCCCAGAGAATCCACGCAACAGTACATAGGCCAGGACCCAAAGGAATGATTCGAAATCATGGCGATACAGGCGCACGATCTCTCCGCAATAATACTCTCTTGAGAGGAGGTCGATTGCCATGAAGGGGATGGTACCAGTCTGTTCCCGGCCTGTCACCTGGTTCTCACCGATGAGACAGATCGTAGCCAAATCGAACTCATTCAGCACACTCTTTGAAGTGGTGGGTTCATGAAGCAGATTGTGAAAACTGATATCCGTATGTTCAATGTCCTTGATCCAGAGCGCGGGGTGGCCTGTTCGAGAGCCAATCAGATGAGAAGTCACTGAAGTAGCGTGATAACTCACGTCGATAACATTCCACCCATTCACGTAGGAACTCATCACCGGGCAACCCATCAATGGGCAACAATTTCTGTATCGGCAGTAGGGGCGTGCAACGTGAGCCACCGACAGCATCTCCAACAATTGGCCCTTCTTTGTGGATGTCCTCCCCACTTGTTCCGGTCGAATAGTGCCGGTCATACGAGGCAGGTACCGCGGGTAAATGTCCCTCTATGAGCGAGTCTCTCCGATCCAGTTCCACCGCCCGGTCAATGATGATGGCCTCGCTCGTACGGATGGCCTCCGGCCAGTATATCCTCATCGCCACATCTGCTTGGATCGGCTTCTCCTGCATGGTCCCAAAGACACTTGTTCCCGGACCGAAAAGGGAATATCGCGATCTAACGGTTTCGTCTGGATGTAGAATAACCTCTGCTTTGACATTCATCTGACCTTCACGATCTCCGAATATGATGTCGAATCCTTGGTGACCGCGACGGGGATAGATCTCGTAGATCGTCCCGTCGTTCTTTGGATGCTCACTCAAAGCCCTCTTCAGATAGTGCTGATATTCGTCCTTTATCAGTGTGGCGTCGATACTCCACTCACGCAGACCAAAATGACGGGATGTGGCAATCCAATCCTTGATGAAATCGACACCGCTCGACTGGATTGCACCTTGTTGATCATACCACCATACCCATGCTGAATCGTCTGAAGCGTCGGAGTCAGTCATAGCTCATACAACAATGGAGAACAAGTGCTTGCCAACAATGAAGACGTTGATTGCGTGCATCGCATAGCGCGGCGATAGCATTCGCGCTGCATGCACGCTGGTATGTTCAACAACAGGAGGGCCTTTCTTCTCAGATTGCTCGGGTTCCATGTCGGATAGACTTATGTTTGAGATGTAACGATGGCGGCAGAGTCCTAACAACACGAACGGTTCACCAGCAAGAGTCCTATCGTCGATGATCTGGGATCAGGCCGCACATGACCATATCGATGGCAAGCGGAGAGGAAAAATGCGCACTGTGTACCTCCTTCGGACGTCTTCGGATGCCGTGGGACCATGAGGCCGTCACGATCAGGCAACAATCCGTCCAATTGTTCCCTAATTGACTGTGTCCGTCCTCATTCGCGCGCAGCCGAGATTGTAAGAAGTCCAGGGGAGGGCTTTTGCCAGTGTTGCATGTGACCAGAACATTGAGCTCACAATGATAACCATCCATCAGTCTTCACCACCATCGACTAAATGATCGTTCGAGCTCTGCATCACGGACAGCGCTGGTGCCTACATGCGACGACGCCAAGCGGGGAATGCATTTCGTCTTGGCTGGACGGTATCTGTGCAGAAATGAGTCAACTTCCACATACGAGCAGAACGTTCCTTCCAAATCCTCGACCGGCGATTCGGCACCCGAGAAGTTGTTGCTTACTGTGTGCATGACATATGACATGGCACAATTGCTACGCTCGTCCTCATCACCTTTCATCGAATAACGATAGCATAAACTAACGGTTGTGACCAAGAGACATGGGACGACGTATTTTCTCGTCGCGAACATCCATGCATCCTGATCCCGAATAGTCGCCACTACCCGCGGCCGCGAATAAACGATGACCGTTACCATTCAACAAATACGAGATCCCACTCACCATGTCGGCAGCGCTGCCTCTGCGACCCGCTGATCGCCATACCGAATACCATCTGTAAAGATCCGCGGTAATGCATCTTCTTCAGCGTGGCCGCGTGAGACAGCGTCCCTTCGTCCGAGGAGCCGTCTCGCCTCAGCACCAGCAGTTGTGACCGACTACTCTCGAGACGAAGCCACCCAGTGTGTGCTTGGACGAGAACGCCCGAGGAATGGCAACCGTGAAATCATCCACAGTGTGAATCTAGTCTGTTCACGGATACTAGTAGCGCTGGCACACGACTCATGGAGTCACAACGCCAGATACAAAGGCACGTCATAGCCGCTTCTAGCTTGGATTTGGCACCTCTGAGATGCGTGATGCCATCATAAGCCATATCAGAATTTCAGGAACAGGGACATCAACTCACACGCAAGCTCAGGAGTTAACAAACGGACATCACACGATGGTCGCCCGCCCATTATCGGTTCGTGAGCTCATATGGTCATAGCGACGGCGACGTCACCCGCTCGACGTGGACGTCACACCGAGCGAAGCGCGGTGCGCCTCAGCGTACAGCATCCTGACCCTGACTGCCATCTGAAAGCGCGCATCGTCAGTCAGCGCGTTCTAGAGTCTTTCTTTTCCACGCAATTCCGCACAGCTCACTTCAAGTTAATGTTGTCTGCGCTGTGCTGTGTCTGCAGGAAGCACAGCGAGCTTTCCGCGCGTTCCGTTCGTCCATCGGGCAGACAACCACGCATTCTCTGTATTCATTCTTCCTGCGCGCCTGCGAGCAAAACAGGCTCAGCGGCCGCACCCCATCTTCCAAGCTTAAGGGAGGAGGAACGCGCGGTATATATATCATGATGATTGCTTCCGGCACTTAAGTCCGGACTGTCAGCAAAAAATAAGCTGTTTTGCCCACGGCCCTCAGTGTCCGCCGCCATAGAGACAGCTCACCGCGCCACAGCAACCGTCGAACCAAAATTTCTCACGAGTTGGCCACCTGTCGAACGTCTACGCGTTGTGTGACACATCGCATCGATATCTGTAACCGGCGGTCCAAACAAACACTGTCAACCACATCGTCAAGCTATGCATTCCCCCGACTCGCAACTCTAGCCGCAACTCTAGCGTGCTGAGGCTGAATTATGAACCCGTTGGTAGTAACCCGCTGCGGGGGTGAATTCGTCCGCGTCAGGGACTGGGAAGCGAGCGCGTCGGGCGCGCACTCTTCAGTCAGCACAATGTGTCACGCGCCGAGCGCATCATCATCAACCAGATCGCGGCGCCCCACCGGCACCAATCACTCTCCACATTCCCCGCATCCCCGCCCCGCCCATGGGAGCCTGGAACGACGACGCACAAGGACCAGAAGTTCCAAAGTAAACCACTCCCCATAATGATACGGTATAAGTAGCACCTATAATATACTAGTAATACACGAAGCGATGCAAGCTTCAAGGCAGAGCAGGGCTTTTCGGGCCCACGCGGCAACGAAATCAATTGAGCCTTTGAGGGATAACACCGATAGGCATTGTGAACCAGCTCTCCTCGCGGATCATCAGCTGTGCCTGGCCCACGTAGAACGCGATGAACGCCGTGATGATACCCGTCCAGCCGCCCGCCTTCGCGCATGCCGCAGACGTTGACTTCACAAGCTCGGCTACGGACCCCAAGTCAGCTTTGGATATCGGACTGGAGACGACGCGGGCACTTACCGATGCCGAGGAGGAGGAACGTGATCGTCAGGAAGAAGAACAGGGCGCACATGCCGATGTTCCGGCGCGTTGAAGCAACACTGCAACGCGGTGAATTAGTTCACGTAAGATAGCGACACGACCCAGGGGTGGGACTTACAAAAGAAGGAACGTAATGATGAACCACATCATCAGGTACATACCGAGGGCCGTCGCGTAGTCCTCCGCGGCATCCGCGTAAGCGGCGCTAATGCCAGAGCCGGGGATGAAGATCGTCGCGTACGACATCCAGAATGCACCGTACATCGTGAAGGCTGCGCGGGCAAATATCGGCGTGAGAAACCCGTAGGATCCAATAAGAAGGGGCAGCAGATACGGCGGCCGCGAGAGACTCACCAGTCGCGCCGAAGGTGTTTGCACACGCGAACTCCCACATGCCCGCGGCGAACTGCGCGAGGCCGCCAACGAACAGAGCCATGGCCATGATCGCGTTCGTCGTGTGGATGTCCCGCACAGACGCGTTGAACAGCGACAGCATGAGCGTGGTGCCGGCGAAGGCAAACAACCCGCTGCAGATGGAGAAAACTCGTCAGAAACTCGCTCGACAGAAGAATCTGCGTGAAAAAACGCACAGAGGCCCTGGGTTTCCAAGCTTCCTGAACTGAGGCGTGGACGGGCCCAACGCTGTGCGCGTGGGGAGAGCGTTGACCTCGGCGATCTCACCGCTCTCTACCTTCTCTGCCTTCTCGAACTGGGAGTGGGAGTGCGAGGACATTGTGCAATGGAGCGACGCTGGCAGAGAACAGTGGTGTGGAGGAGAGGGTGCGAGACGGGGGAGTGACAAGACGAGGGAAGAGCCTTTTAGAAGGGCGCTTACATAAGCGATCCAATACGAATAAGGAATGGAGAGCGTGCGTTCTAGTTTCAGGATAGCCTTGTGACCGCTCGTTGATGAACCCCGCAGTCACGTCTGGGGAGGCTAAATGTTGTCCAGGCCAATTAGCGCAAAAGGCCCCAGTGAAGCCCGATCAAATCACCAAGCGGTGGCGAGCGTTGAATTGCAGCCAGCTGGAGCCCGAGCCCACTGCCATGCCAAACAGCGTCGGCCAGCTTACGTTGCCCGCGCGTGCCCGCCGGAGTCGGGCGACTATGCGAAACAAGACCTTGCCCGGCCAGGCACCATGCCGTACACCGCACCGCCGCACGCGCACGGACCGACCCACCGACGGCATCTTCTCTGCGAGCCCAATCGATAGAAACCGCATCGGATCCAGGAATGCATCGCATCACGCCGTCGCACTCGGCCGCGATAAATTTTCAAAGCGTCAACGCGTATCGCACATCGACGACGCGCGCGTCTTGAACCGGGCAGATGGCAGATAGAAGAGGTCATGCGGTCGCATAGCATGCCCCTAGTCCCTGTATGTCGAAAGCGATCCAATTACCAGGCAAAGGGCGTGAGCAATCACCAAGGAAGGCGCGCGCGACCCAGGCTTCTTCACATGCTGTCAGCTGACTGCCGACAGCACGCGCGTTCTGCGCTAGCGAGTTTGGGTCGGTCTCGCGCACAACACCATTGGGGCCGTCCGGCGTAACATGTGTGCGAGGATAACGAGCAGCTCCGCGGCAGAGGCACTAGATAGCCTCGAACACATCCACAATTACAGAAGCCTTGCAGAAAATGGGCGCCTACGGACATGGAGCGCCGCTGCGGAAGCTTGCTGATGCGACGCGGAGAATGATAGTGATCACCGATTTCCAGAATGGACGACCAGAGCACAACCCTGAACACTAGAACACTTTTGCCAGTTGTAGCAGACCAAGTATTCGGCGACCAGGGGACTTAGGAGACGTCTTGAGTGAACGTGGCGTACGCATTTCCCTCCCCAACGTCGGAATGGGCGGGATGCCGCATCGCTCGTCGAGCTCCCAGCCCCGTCATCGTACAGTCGTCAGATATGAATCACGAGCACAGAGTGAGATTCAGCCACATGTGAAAGCAAGGATCCGCGCGAAGGCGGGGAGCACCGTCCGCCCGCCCACGGGCACCGTCCAGCAGAGCAGCAAAAGCGATTGCACGAACAGGAGGGAAGGTAGGATCGTCGCGCGCACAGCGGACACCCTATATATCTGCGGGGATAAGGGTCACTCACGCAGCTCGCCAGCGTCATCCACATGCGTCGTGTGCAGACCCGCTGACCACCCAGCGCCAGCTACTTTCCACGGACCTAGCATCATGCCTCCCTTATCCGTGGCCGCCACACTGGATACAGCAATTTCACGGCGAACAAATGCGACCTCCGCGCGAATGGGAGGGCGCGAAATCACGACCCGCGACCAGGTGACCGCGCGTACGTGCTCTTCGATCTGCCGCAAGACAGGAGGACCCTATCGTTGACATGTAAGCCCTATTCTTAGCATACACAGAGACAAGAATACGCACTTGACAGAACATCCTCTCAACCGACACCAACTCCTCCATATCTCTCACACAGCCCGCCCACCCTTCTTGACAACGCGCATCGTCTTCGCTGACATCCACAACCGAACATCGCCAGGTAGGGGCTTCCAAGCGACCGCTATGATGTCAGCGCTCTACCAATTCGGCGAGCGCCAGCCCAAACCAGGAAGTCATGCGTCCCAACCCGTCCCCGCACGCAGGCGAACTCGAAGTTGCACTCTTCCCCCGGCGGAAGCAAGCATATATCCATGCGTTCGAAATCCGAAGAGTACGACTTCACGAAGCAGTCAGCCCCACCATGAGGCTCGGTTATCCAAATTCGAAGCACCCCCAAACCCAGCACAGAAGGTCGTCACACATCGTCACCGCCAGAGAAAACACACAGCCAGCAAACAGCAAATCAAGCACGGACGCAGCAAGCAGCTAGCAGCACGACAGCGGAGCAGGATCGAGGGAAAGAGAAACCCGCTTCCTCTCCCCATCCAGACCTTATATCAACGCTCAACCGGGACACTAATCCCCTCGGCCGAAGGGACCCGATCAATACCGCGTCCCATCGCTCCTAACACTTCCGATGATGCGCTAGAAACTCGCCGTTCAATGCCAGCAACGAAGAGGAAGATTCCTTCAACCTCCGGTATACGCTGTACCCGGCCATGGAAGCGCCGTCTAGGGAGGCCTTTGAACGCTTACATAAGCGAACGATACAGCGCAAGCGCCCGTGTCGATTCCCGAATCTGCCCGACCGGGTGTCGTCCGCGCTGTTGGTGGTGGCCTGCAGATAAGAGAGCATTTGTCTGCAGCAATTATCCTGACCTCATTGCATGTTATATAGGAATGATTTTTTGCAGACGTTCCGTCGCATTCTCCACTACGCGGAATAAACATTTGTCGAGCCTTCAACGGAGCCAGAAGCGTACCATTCTCATGCACGTCGGACGAGCCATTCCGCAACCCGCACTTCCCATGACGATAGTCGCCCGTCTGCAGGTGCGTGGATATTCCACGACCAGCGTTCCGGACGCCGCAGTCTCACGAACAATGTTGCACACGACGAGCGCTCGCCACCACTCGGAGTGCCGTACGCTTCTGTTCCACACCACACTAAGATATCCGAAGCCCGCGGAGGGTGAAGGAATCGTCTCGTCTGCCCACGGGAGACTACACTACACTCGCGATGACCATCTGTACCATGCGGATACAGAAAACGGGATGAAGCGGAACAGTATCTATTGCGCGCGGGCAATATACATGTCGGACGCTGCCAAGAGTTCTCCAGAATGCCCTGCGAAACGTACGAACTGCAACCGTAGCGCTCCAGAACAGATCTGAGTGAACATTAGCAATCACACTTTCGCACAGTATGCAGGCGGACTCACCCGGCCTGTTCAGACAGACAATGGCAGACGCGATCGCAATCACCCCAGACATGAAGCCGTTTTTTAACGCATAATAGGCATTTAAAATTCGATCTGGTATTTTAAAATTGACATTTACATTTACGCTCGTTACGTTTCCGAAGATATATATGGAATCTGGGCGTGACTATGGAGTCACACAATACGATCAGCGGTAAATTCTGAATAAACGACATTTTGCTCAGTTTATAATAATGGACCTCATATGCCATCGTGTGATACGCCCTCACATAGTTCAGAAATAGCACAAGGAAAGTGACAGCTGCAAATCAACCTCCGCATATTGAAAATACGCGCGCTCCTTAAATTGGTGGAACTATGTACAATATTTGATGGTGGTAGATTCCAGATCTTGGACAATAAATTTCACATGTACGGTCTACAACAGTACTAGTACCGCTCGCAGGGTAACAATTACCGCGTCGCGGTCCCCTTTAAAAGCTTCCCGAGCTCGTGATATAAGTGAATAGGGTAATCAATTCAATTCGAAACAGAACAAAGTAACTTGCCGTGTGAGACTACCGCTGAGGTGGAGTCCCAGCTCAGTTCCCTTCCACCGGAATACATCCAGACATCAGATAAAGCGGCACAGGTAGTGCAAAGACGTGCCATGTCGTCTGTGCGGTCAACAACAGCGTCCTCCCACAGCTGCAAGTTCGATAGAATGGGAAATTGCCGCAACCAGCCGGGTAACTGACTCTATTTTGCAACCTTTTAGCTATCGGACTACGCCAATCCATAATGGCCGACTTACCAAGAGCAACGCACTGAAGGAATCCCGTTTATTCTCGCTCGATGCTTGTTCCAACACAACGTACTTCACGTTAGGAAGTAGAACATCCGATAGCGGAAGTCCGATGATACCGTTCGGTATTTCGTCAACGCCCGCTGCCATGAAAGGAGGAAACGTGCAATTGAGCCAGTACAGCTCCTCAAGCTCGGAGACGAGCGTGAGCACCTTGGAGAGGCTGCAAACGAACTCGGCGGTCTTCTCACAGTGGAGACTAGGGAGAATCGTCAATCTCTCCAGAGTGGCGGCGCTCGTGCGCTCGTCGCCTAGTATGTGGAGAAGGTACATGGTCGGCGCTGCGAGAACCCGCAGATGAGATAGATCTGAAGGAGGGGTTCGTCGATGGGCTACACGGCCGTAATCTGAATGATATCCTATATGAAGTTCCTCTAGTCCGCGATGGCGCTGCAAGAAACGATCGAGGGCAAGGTGAGTAAGTTCACCCTCGATTCGTAGGATGCGGAGGGTAGGGATCGCGAGTCGCTCCAGGATAAGGGACCAGGGAGGGGAAGCGAGACCCGGTGTGACTAAAGTCAGCTCGACTAGTGAAGTGGAATTGATCATCTGCAATGTCCATTGAGACAAAGAAGAATCGAACAGTGCAGCCACCTGAGGCTGAAATGTTTCCAAGGTGGAGAATGAAAAGTCGGGCGAGCAGGACACATGTTTGCATGGTAAGACAGGGCGGCAAATGATGCTACTTCTGTGCCAGAGTGTGATACTCGAAACACAACTGTGACGCAACGTATCCAGTACCTCCACCAGCTGCTGTCCTGGAGGTGAGTCGAGGAAAAGTTTCACGTTCCGCAATGGTGAATCAGACCCCAGGGACGCGAAGAAACGACCCAATCGCATGTATTCGAAAGGGGTGTTGATACCGACACGCAGTATCCGGGGGCACTGGAATAGCAGCGAACGCCGCCAGAAAGAAAGAGTCGCAATGGCATCATCTCTGAGTAGGACAACGACTTTGTCGGCTCCGGAAATGCGTAAGCCGTGTCGACGAAGATAAATGGGAACGGTGATATAGTGCATATGACAGGACAGGGTGGTCAGACACACAAGGTCGCTGTCTGGCAGTAACTCAGCAATTGCGAGGACCAGTTCGTTGGGGACATGGAAGAAAGCATCTCTACTGGGTGTAGCAGGTATCTAGGACAGTAACCAAAATAAGCGAAAAAGCCCGGACAAACAGAACAGCACTTACGACTGTAAGCTCCTCGTGGATAAGGCACAGTGCGTCTTGATCTGCTTCGCTTATTGCAACCGAAGATGACTTTGAGTAGTGATGAGAAAGGACGATGAGAAAGGATCAAATAACAAAAGTCAATGGGTACCTACAGCTGGAAGAAACTCCTTGCCTGTCGACCCGTCATGAAGCTGGGTCGATGCTATTGCGGAAGCAAGCTGCTAAGATCAAATGAACACACTTCTGAACGCCACACTTTTGAAAACATAGCCATGAACGTACAATTTCCTTCGCAGGGACAGTATCACGGCAATGAATGGCTCTACGTATCCTTGCCACGTAGTAGAAGAGAATGCTAAGCACGCTAAGCACAAGACCCATGACTGCAAGTGATTGATTGACGGGGACAGATGGTTGAGAGGCCCTGGACTGGCGCGGGCCAAGACTTTATATCTCGAATGCGAATGAGAGAGGGCGTTTGAGAGAGGGTGAGAAAGCGCTAAGCTACGCTCGGGACCTTCCACCACCATGGTGCGTACGACAGATTGTGAGACCAGTCCAGGCAAGCAAAGAGGCGGCAAATTGGTAGCCGGAATAGAGAAAGACAGCCAAATGTGCACAGGACATACGAACAATTAGCATCGAGCCTGGGACAATAGTGGACGACTAGTACTTACTTGCACGAAAAGCTTACACAACGGAAAGCCCGCTACTCTGAGCAGCCGGAGGCGCAAGGATAGTAGACTAAAAAATTAGTTGTCGACCTCGGAACAATGGATGTCGACTTACCTGCACAGAAAAACATACACGACAAACGGGGAGACAATGGACGAGCACGTTATGCATCGTCGGCGTTCGCTA